CTCTTCCGATCTCCCCAAAACCCCAAAACCCCAAAACCCCGCATTAGTACATTTAGACTTTTCTTTTTTATTAAAGCTTATAATTAGGAAGAAAATGGATATAATAAACAGTTCTTAGAGCATAAGATAAAATCAATATAATTAATTTTCCCAGAGTGCTCTTAATCACTCATTATCTTCAAATAATATTACAAAGCTAGCCCCAATTAATTCTAAGCAAATAAGATCTTAGTCCTATTATAAAGAGGGCTAGTTAATTAAAAATGTCCATCAGTTTAACAAGGGAATTAAGAACTCGTTTAGCACCAATATAATGGAGAATATTTCGCTTATTAAGAACACCATAAATGAGAGAAACATTGAAAAAGGTCTGGAAGATATACATATTAGAACAAGCAAGATAGCCAAGTATTATAACTAGGAGTTCAATGATAATAACGAAACCTTTATTAAAAGTCAACAGTTCAGAACCTAAAATTTTGACAGCAGAGTTGGATAGGTTTTATCATTGGAAAGAAGTCTTAGTCAATCCAGAGATATAGATAACGAAGTATTCATAAATGATAAGGAAAGACTTTTAGCCGAGAGGAATGTGTTTTCCTCCCCAAAGATTAGACAAGCAATGGGGGTGATTGGAGATTTTGAAATAAAGTTGAATCAATCAAACGGTAACAAGGGAGTAGAAAATATTTATCATGTAGATAACGTTGATATAATGTCTGGCAAGAGTGGTACACCAATCGAAAGCTAAAATATTAGATCAGCAGCTCAGCTGAGAAATTTCCTTCAATCTAAAAGATAAATAAATTCAAGACTAACTGGTGGTTCATAAGGTAGATCGGCAGATTTTAATGCAGGCTAAAATTTCAAGCATTCATTTTCAGATTATCAAAATCTCATGGCTTTAAAAGGAATGAAAACTCTAAAACGGTCATCTTTTTCGAGCAAAGATTTCCTGACTAAGGACGAGTAGAAACTTGGAAACCCAAAATCGCTTGAGTCATTAGATAGAAGTTTTTCTAAATTAAGAGGACTCCTAGATAGAAAGTGCGATAGACTAGACATTTAAAATAAACTCTTTGCTTAGCCTAAGACAACTTAAAACGCTTATAGGAGTTAGGTTAATCTATTGCACAACAAAAAACTTATTGATAGAAGGTTTAACGTAGAGAGAAACTTAGCATAAGATGATCCTAGCTAGTTCGGTTTAGATTTAAATGCTAAGCAGAGGATTCTATATGCAAGTATGAAAAATCAAACTACGATAGATAGTAATGTTCAATAAACCCCTCATTATCAAACTTTGATTGCTAATCCACTTGCTAAATAGTATCAATCTAATTTCTAGACTGTTAATGGCTGGCAAGCGAAAGAAAGAGAGAACGTGTCTCTTTCTGGTTAGTAAAAACATAACTATCACATACTCTCTTAAAGTGATAGATAGACATATCTGAATGGCCTAAATGAGAGGACCCAACTTAAAAAGGTAAACGGTATCAGTGAATATGCATAAGAGTCTTTCTTAACCTCGATTAAGATTAACAAAGATTATCAGAAAGCTTATCAAGATAATCCCAATGTATTCCGAAAGAGCTAAGGCTAGCTAACATAATTTGCAAATAAGCAAACCAGTCACAATCTGATAATGCCAGCTTTTAAAAAGGCTTGAAATGAGTTACATTTATAATTTAAAAAGAAACTATTAAAGATTAATACCTATTATCTTATTATCTTAATTTCATACTATAATACTATTTTACTAATAACAATGAAAATCAAAATTTAACAATCACTTATTATTGGATTGTGGCTAATTTCAAGCTTTCACGATACTAATTGTCATAAAGTTGCTCTAGATGATCAGGAATTTGATTTTCAGAAGTACATGGAGGAATACCAATTGAAGTAATAAGAAAATATGGGCAGATAAATACCTAAGATCAACTTAGAGACGATCTAAAAATATGTTTTTAGCTGTAAAATATTATTGTTTTCCCCTTCTTAGCCATTAATATTTTAATTTAGATGTTGATTAACACTTGATAGAGATTATTTGCTTGGTAACGTTCTTAAGTTACTTAATTACCTTTATCTATGGTAAAAGGGTAAACAGGTAAATTGCAGATAAGTGGTTAATGGAGGTCAGATAGGTGCTAGCCGATAACTTTGCCAGAATAGGTTAAAGTTCTTAAATCAAGACTAAGGATGATGTCTATTTTGAGTAATATTAATGATGATAACTTATTTTTATGTAGAGAATATTCATCTAATGAGTTTTCAATTTAAGCATCGGGTAGAGAGAATGTTCAATATGCCCTAATAAATGTAGCTTTGGTGAAGCGACAAGATATATTTTCGCTTTTCAATTAGTGCATCTGTCCTAAATGGTATAGGATGAAAGATATAGTTTGGATTGAAATCCCAATTGAACGTTAAGACAAGACGATTCATTCAGAAATTCTTCTAATATAACCTCGAGAGATTAAGAAGACATTTCAATCAATGCCTCATTTAGAAAAAATCATGATAAATATTTGCCCATACACTCCCTACCTAGGTGATGATCAGACTTCGATTCAGTTTTATGGGGAGAATCACGAAAGCATAAATGAGTTGACTAGAGATAAGAGAATTTGTGAAATGCTTATAAATCACTCTGACAAGATAATGGGAATTCACATCACTGACTAAAAGCTTTATTCTAAGAATGACTTTGTGCTTAAGTGCCAGTTAAAACTCAATGATAATGAGATAAGTGGATGGGCATAACTGATGAAAGACATACTCTATCTATCTGATTATTTAACAAGAATGAGGATTCCAACTAAAATTCAAGAAGAGACTATAACTAGACGAAATAGACTCTTGAAAAATGTCAAAGTAGCAGACAAAAGGGCAAATACGATAAAAAGTATTAATAAGAGTAGTTGATAATTAAATCTAAATTTGGCAGTATTTTAATATTGTAGATAATATTAGTTAATAAGAATTCAATCATATTAGTGAATAAGATTAATAAGATTTAATTAATTCAATTTTTGGTATGAATGTTTGACTAGCGGGGTTTTGGGGTTTTGGGGTTTTGGGGTTTTGGGGTTTTGGGGTTTTG